CTGAAATTGAACTTCATTTATTTTTTAAAGAGTTAAAAATGTACTGTAAATCTATTTTATCAATAAACTGCACTACAAAAGTAGGTATTTATTTTAAAAAATACTTTAGTTTGGATTCTGATGTATCAGTTACCTTGCCAATTTTTGGCTATTTTGTTTCAGTTAAAATAATTAATTTATTCTGTCCGTTTTTACGTATAGAAAAAGTTTGATGTCCATTCTTGTCATATCAGACAACAATTCAATATTAATTTACGTGCAATGAATTGTAGTTTGAGAAAAAAAGACGAACAATCAAATCATGCATCGTACATTTTACATCTGGTACGTTGTTTTTCTTTTTCAATTCTCAATCAATATCACCAATTTATAACTTAGTTTGCGCCAGCTCTTCTTTTTTCGATAAAATAACTACTTAGTTATTTAGTAAATTATGTTGTTACGGTATAACATCTAATCTATACTGTCGATTAAGTAGGTAATTTTTTTAATAGGTTGATTCGATTTTATAGCTCTACCACATTATTTATTCAATAACTAATTATTATATCAAATAAGAAGTATTGTTTCCTTTTCAATTTGCAATTCATTCATATAATACTACATTCAATCCATTAAAAGTGAAATTTGTGGCGTTTTAAGAATTTTCAACCTGTAGTAATCAGAAAGTATCTGATGCTTTCAGATCTTACGTTATCATCAATTGCATGCGTCAGAGCTGAGCAGCGTCGTTATGAACATCAACAGCTGGAGTAGTCTCTCTGTGGTCAGCTTGTCAACCCCCAAGATGTTAACCGGTCATATACAGATATCTCGGGAGCCATAGCAACAGAAGAAACCCGATATATGGACCATTTCGCGAAAACTTTGTTACGTTTTATGTTTCAGACTTTTAATTCGAAGTGTGCAATAAAAATGTTGTCGAATTACAGGTACTTATGTTCTAACAGAAAATCAGTATATAGTCAAGATTTTTATTAGTAAATCTTTTAATACTCACATATCTAAAAGTTACGGACCCGTTTCTTGTATTTGAAAGAGATGGGCTTTTTAAAAAATAAGCATACAAAAATTTGGGCAAGTTTGAATTGAACGCAGTAGTAGTTAATACTTATATTATTAATAACGATGTATTATACATTACATATAACGATATTACTATATGTATCTCATTTTGGAGCGGGGGGGGGGGCATTTTCGGGTAGTAGGAAAGGCCCAATCCTGCCGTAAATGGCACTTTCTGAGACAACTTTGTATTTTCTATCTATATGTGACTAGGTTGTGGCAGTAATATCGTTTAGACCACATTGCTCTTTTTATATTACAATATAACTCGTGATCAAAAGAAAAGATCACGAAAATACTTTGGTTCTCCACAACTAATGACGTTTCTCAATTTTTGTAAAAGTTACGGCAGGTATTTTTTTTAATTTATTAATTTTTTTTTTTTTTCACACTTTGGGCTCAGCTTTTAGTCTATAGGTAGTATAGAGTAAAAAAATTAATAATTTAAAATCAGTGCACCACAATCCGTTGACAATGAAATTTTCAAATGCTTCGCTATACGGCAATGGCATTTTGGACGGTTTTTTTTTTTTTTCAATTCACGAATACGCAAACAATTAGATCTCAAAAACATGTTTAGAAAAAATTAGTTTACTCCTTTAAATAAGTTTTTACTCAAAAATAATGTAAGTTGCCGTTTTTCACGAGGTTTTTTAAACAAAGGCTTCATAGAATACCAGGATTTTTGTGAAGTTATCCATATATACACCTGAAAACAGATGTGTGCATATATAGTACAACAGCACTACAGCAGATGCTTTTGCGCACTTGGGTAAGAAATCAATAGTACGCACACAAAAACGAAAACAAACTCGCCAGTCGCCGGTCTGTTTTATAACATGTTTACACTTGAGGGTATGGCAGAAACAGCAAAAAATAATTATTACACATACCACGCAGGAATAGCGCATCGGCTGGAATATTTATATATTTGAAAAAGTAATGTAAATGAACAAATAAACAAGACTTGTTATTCTTGAGTCTACCTCTTGTTCAATAAAAAAATTTTTTTAAAATAAATAAATAAATCTAAAAAAAATGTTTTTCTATCGAACCTATGTTCCACATTTTAGCCCCTTTATGTCCTTTTCGTATACTACCGTACATACTTATTCAAATTATCATTACGGTGCAAAGACCTGCCTTGATATGTATAAGTAATATAATTATATTTATAAGAATCTAATTAAGCATAACATAACAATGAGCTCTGCTTGTGTGTGTTGGCAAAAACATTAAAATATCGCGAGGGCGCAGAAAATAATTGGCAGGTCGATGGCCTACAGTATATTAACAGCACAAAAAATATATAATAATCACAGCCTCAACTTTTGTTTCTTCACTAACAACTGAATAAAACGCCAGAAGGTCGCAAACTTGTACGATTTGCGATTCAGCTTCTGTACTTATATTTATACTTTTACACGCAGTATTAATCACCAATATACATTGACAGGTAATTATACGCATTTAGCACCAATTTATTTGTTGTCTCATGATCATCAATGAAATATAAATATACCGTTTATTTATGTTATACCTATATATACAGAATACAATGCATAAGTAATGAAAGAATTTTGGAGCATCAAGTCAGCACACACACACACACATCTAACACACAAATTGTATAAGGAGAGCGAGAGAAAGCAAGAGTCGACTCACCCGGATGCGTGTCCGCTGATAGGGCTCGCTCCAGGAGTCGGGCCGGGCGTCAATTGGATTCTGCGGTGACTGTCCTCAGGGAATAGAGAAAAATAAACAGGTGAAGGGTAAGTCGAGTGGAGAAAAAACAACCAACAGAGTCTACAACGACTTCCCGGGTGAGCCGGAGGCCGGAGGCCGCGAGAGAGGCTCAGTCACTGGAGCCAACGTACGTATACGGCCTCTCTCGCTCAGACTCTATAGCTCCCTCTCGGTCGGTTTCCTAATCCCTCCCTGGGACTCTATCGTCTCTATCACGACTTTCGATATCTCGCAAAAGTCAGTATTTTTTCGATAATTCTTATACTGCGCACGCGCACAACCATAATTTTAGATAAATTATCAAAAAAAATACTGACTTTTGCGAGATATCGAAGGTCGTGATAGATAGAGCCCTTGTCTGATCGGGGCATTCGATATCTCGCTTAAATAAGCAGTTTTTTCGATAATCCCTATAAAATAACCAAAAATAACGATAATGCGCATGCGTAGTTAAGGGATTATCGAAAAAACTGCTTACTTTAATGAGATATCGAATGCCCCGATCAGACCCCTCAGGCTATGGGGCTAATCCCAATCCCAATATGTGACATGACTTGTGTATGCAGTTTGCAGCATAGACATATAATAGACCAAGAGCTGAGACCAGAGAATGTAATCTTGCCGCAAATGGTACTTTCAGTTGACAAATGTTTATTTTCTATCCATTCATGTAAGTTGCGGCTGGTAACTAAAAGAGATTGTATGGCACAACTACAATTACCACATAACTCTTTACCACTATGAAATATGACCGAAATAATCCGGATTTCCACGAATCACAAGGTTTCTAATCAATTCTGGTGAAAGTGGCGGCTGGTTAAAATTTTGACTACCCTTCGGCCTCAGCTCTTGTTCTCTTGTGATTCGTGGAGATCCGAAAATTTCGGTCATATTTCATAGTGGTAAAGAGTTACGTGGTAATTATAGTAGTGCCGTATAGTCTTTTTTATTGACTAGCCGCAACTTATATCAATGGATAGAAAATAAAAAGTTGGTACCTGAAAATGCCATTTGCAGCAAGATTAGAATGTATCTTGTATCCGAAAATCAACCTTCAAAAAAATAGACCCCCTACGCGATCTTATCTACAATACTTATCTGAGATAATAGATGATACATTGTTGATAACATTGCAGATAAGAATACAATATCTATATTTTTGGAGGTCGATTTTCGGATACAAGATGCATTATAATCTTGCCGCAAATGTCACTTTCAAGAATAACTTTTTATTCCCGATCGATTGGTGAAAATTGCGGCTGGTAAATAAAAAAGACTATACGGCACTAGTTTTATCATTCTGCCTTCTGGTAAAGAGAGTACGGTGTAAGATGTACGTGAAGTTATGTGTAGTAATTAAAGTAATTACTACTAAGTAATGCCATATGGTCGATTTTATTAAACCATATGAATATCTGTATTTTTGGAGGTCAACTTTTGGGTAAAAAATAAATTGTAAACTTGCCGCAAACAGCACAGACTACGTTAACTTTTTATTATCTATCTATAAAATTAGTAACGGCTGGTTTATAATTAATAAAGTGGCTCTAATATAAGAAGTAATAATTATTTGGATCAGCGCCATCTAGCGTTGCGAATTTCTGAACTAAAAAGTGGCCCTAAACCTTTGAACCAGAGCTTTAGAGCGTAGAGCCATTTAGTCAGTCATAAACCAGCCGCAACTCCTGATAAAGCTATAAAATAAAAAAAACAACGATATATGTGTTTTTGGCGGCAAGTTAACAATCTATTTTTTACCAAAAAATCGACCTTCTATGTGTTTATACTTTTGAAGATAATTTTTTGAGCATAAAATAGATGGTTAACTTGCCGCCAAAAACACATGTATCGTTATTGTTTTATTTTATAGCTTTCTCATGAGTAGCGGCTGGTTTATAATTGATAAAATGGCTCTAATCCTGAATGCTCTGATTTAGAATTTTAGGAGCCACTTTTGGCCAAAAAATAAAGACCGCTAGATGGCGCTGATCCAAAATAATTATTGCTGTTGCTACTCACAGTAAAGTCACTATATTAGTTATAAGCTAGCCGCAACGAATCTTATAGATAGATAATAAAAGTTAACATTTTTTGTGCTACTTACGGCAAGTTTACAATTTATCTTTTACCTTGAAATCGACCTCCAAAACCATCAATGTTCTACTTATCTTATATGGCTCATAAAATCGACAATATTTACAAAATTACAATACTCTTGACCTTTTACCATTAACTCATGTAAGCACAAATTAATCAGTCCAAAAGAGACAACCGAAGAAAAAAGGCCTGAAAAAGAAGCGAAGCTCATATAAGGTGCGAAATGCGAATAGACACAGCATCTAAAGTATGCTATAAAAATGCTAAGTGATGATATCAAGTAATAACATAAAATATCTCTGAAAATGCTAAGAGATGCCATTGGATGTCTATAAGAATTAAGTTGTAGTTGATGCATTATTTGAAGTTCATACGCACTAATTTCGCTTTTCATTGGTTCAACAAAGCTTAGTTGTTTCGTAACTTACAAGGATCAGTTCAGTTTGGTTTCATAGAAACATGATATGAGATTTTAAGTTCCTGTAAGTCTTTAGGTTTACTAAAAGATTATTTATATTTTACGGGAAACTTTAAATATCACACACTTTAAAGTAAATTTGCTTCTTCTTACAGGTATCCATTGAGTACTACATGATTGGAGTGCAATATATTACTTGGGGAAGTTATCAAATAAAAAATGAACCAAATATCACAGGTAGATACCAATAGATTGTTAATTAAACACTAAAAATTAGCATTCTTAGGTACAGCTAGAGAGAATTGTAGAAATACAAGAAATCCAAACGATAAAGCACAGATAAATGAATCATGTCACACCTCAAATCTTTAGAATTTATCGTATTTGTTAATGATTCGGATAATTTTATCTTTTTGCAGATGGAACTCTATGCTCTTGATGCTCTTGGTCATAGGGAATCCGAACTAACAGAATTACAACGGAAAATTGAACTGATACGAAAGGAGGTGGAATTGCTGAGTTGTAACAGGTTCGATTTGGTTGAGTACAGTAAGCCTAAATATATTGCAACGAAAATACAAAAAGATCCGACAGACAATTCCAAGATGTTTGCAGATTCTCACAATGAGCTTGTAAAGGGTCAGAATGTGATTCAAAGGCTGAGTAAAGGTCTAAAAAATCTTGACGAAATGATACGCAGGCTGGAGGAGATCACGCGAAGGAGCAGTTTTTCCAACTGTTTGCTGCCCAACGAGAAAGACCAAAGAATTTGTCTGTTGGAACAAGACCTTGAAAAGGAAAGAAGCTTGGTGGAGACTCTACAGCTATGCTTGAAAAAGGAAAAGGATTCAGCAAGGAAGGATAAAGCAAGTGACACGGAATTGATACGCCAATTGAAAATCGAACTGGAAGATTCAATGAAAACGCGCAACAAGCTCCTTGTTGAATTGAAATGTTTAGCTGTTGTGAGTGCTTTTAAAAATGGAAACTTGTCGGAGTTTGAGAATAAAGAGGGTGAGCAGCAGATGATGGATTTGAAAAAGGAATTGGAAGCCGAAAAATGTAAAACCAAGGACTGTCAAGAGGCTCTGAAGAAACTTGAAATCGAGAAGGGTAGACTGGAAAAAAAATGTAAAGCCTTGAAAGAGGACAGAAAAATACTGGCAAGTAGCTTGCACGATGCGGTTCTAAAAAGAGATCAGATCGCAAGAGATCTGCAAAATACCAGAGCTGAACTTAAAACTAGCACTAGGGAATGCGATTCGCAAAAGTTGATTTTGGAAGTGACAGGTGACGTTGAAAAGAAGCCCGATCAGCACATGTGCAATGAATCATGGGAACTCCAGTGTCTTAGAAAAAAGCTCAAGAACTCCTATGGTCTCATCGGCACTTATGAGACCGAGACGAAAATATTGAGGCAATTGTTGGCTGAGTCGTCTATAAAAAAACAACTGGGGGTAGAAGTATTAGGTTTGATATACAAACTGTTTGATGGATATAAATAAACAGAGGTGTTTTATCGCGAGTCAAGAAATCTATCTCAGAAAATTAAATAATATTGGGAAAGTCGAATCTAAAGGCCATCTACCAATGTACATTAGTAATGATCCCTCAAATTTGATTAATTCAAAGGAGATGTCCATCTCTTACATTTTTTTTGTAAATGATCCCAAAGACTACTTAAGCAGTGTATATTTCTAATGCCTTTTATGTCTGTGATTTTACAAGAGGTTGCACTTTTCTATATAAAGATACAGGAGAGCTCATTCATGAGCTCCTGAACTAACAAGTGTTAGCAAACAGTATTGAATAAAAATATTCTGCAGTATTGTGTAAATATATACATATATTTTATAGTATGATTGTTATCATTATTGTATTTTTAAAAATACAATACACAGTACTTACGCGATCTATTTTTATATTTTTAAATTGCGTGCCAAGTCTACTGTTGATATTTGAATTTAAAAGATAAACTACTATCAAAATATAAACTACATCCTGTTACATGTTTTATAATTCTGTGATTAAATGTTATATTTTGTCTATTAAAAATAAAGAGTCTTTATATTTAATGCGTTAGTTCATATTTTTTGTTATTAAATGTGAAATATATATTAAGAGCGGAGCCATGGCTTTTTTATTATAATAATAGAGTTAGCCTTTTAAATTTTCAGGAGTTTTCACAATAATATTAATGCAGTAAAAAAATTTTATTTCAATTTGCAATAGTAGTTAAATTTGTAATTTCTGAGAGTACTTAATAACTTTACCATTTAATTAATCATCAATAATTAACAATGTCCTCTATTATTTTAGTCTTAGTGACCCAAGGTACTTCAAAGACTTGAGACCACATTTTTTTATATTCTACATAAAAAAAGGGACCAAACGCGTTTGTGTATCTTATATTAATGTGGCTGTAGATAGATTTTTTTTTAATTACAATGTTTCTACCTTACCGACTAGTTGCTTGGAATTATATTTTAATTTTCAATTAATCTCACGATTTGTTAGCACTAATTACTTTCTAGCAATTATACAAACAAACCCAAATCAATTTATCGTGTTTAATATGACAAGGAATAAAAAAACAATTAAAGATTCTTATGATTAAGATTTTATTAAAAAACAATAGTATCACAAGTTCCAGATCACAATTAGTACTCTTTTGTTAAAGAATGCATTTATCTTGTATAACTGTACACTGTAAAAGATGATTGTATTCAAGATTTTCCATTAGTTTAAATGTGCTTTGATAAGAGTTCAATATAACGTTTAAACATATTAAATTAAACATAAATGGATGTGCAGGTAAACAAAATCAATAAAATTGTTAATTTGCTATCATTTTTATTAAAAATTATTAGCATGTGTCAGTGAAAAATATGTGAATTCGTAGAAATATAGAAAAAAATAGAAATCAGACCTCATATTGCCCAGCAACAGGTGGATTAAAAGTTTTCAATTACCTATACACTTTAATCAATGTAATACAATTAAAAGTGAGTTTTTCAGTAATACAATAATCTTAATTTATGCATATTTACCGTATTCAGTTACGCCTGAAACATTTTCATCTAATATATACATAAAAATCACTTTAAAATTACCATTTGAACAATTTTTCTAACAGATAACAGCATACAATTAATCGTCATACTCTTATTCAGTATCATTGTGAAAATTGTACTTTATGTTTTATACAATAGACTTTCCATTACAATTATAGATTGGCAGAAATGGAGAGTTTGTCAAAGTTGTCTTATTCAAACAACATACTTTAACATTATTTTTTTCCTAATTTTTTTTTCCTAATTACACTAATTTTTGTTTAAAATTCGAGAAACGCCTTGAATTCTTGGGCGAATTTTTATCTCCCGAAGATTAAATTTCATCACGCTAGTCACATGTGTTTAAATACTTGGTCTTGCCGAAGACATAAATTAATCTTAGAAGTTTATCATTACAAAAATCATTGAACTGTTACATTTCGTTTATGTCGCTCAAACTCCAAGGTTTTTTCCTTTTTATTTTTCAATGATTCTATTTGCTTGACAGCATCTTCTAATTCATACAAATGTGCATCGTATACTTTAGGCGCTATAGCACGCATTGCTGCTGCCAAATTATACAAATACTCGGTGTTGTGTCCACTAGCTCCAGCGCATTCTGCTATGTGCCCAGCTATTGTGCTAATATTCTCATATCCAGCAAAGTTGGGATTATCTTCGTGGCCGATGTAGATGTACATGTGAAAGGCTTCTTTGTCTATCTGTGACTGGCTAACTGGATAAAAAAGAACGTTTTTCCTCTCGTAACCTCCTCTTTCCCGATAATCGAGGTGCTGTGTCACACTTTCAATGTTTTCAGGAGCTATTTTGTATGCACAACCCCAGACTTCATCTTTTGGATTGCTGGAGGCAAGGAGTGTGACCACCCGACCAGGCTAAAAATAAAAAAAGGAGTAAATTAAACAACTGCATCAACACAGCTTTGCGATATTTAAAAATACCTTCAATAAAACTACACTCAAAGGCAACTAAAAGTGGAACATTAAAAAAAAAAAAAATAATTAAATAAATTTGTGAAAATTTCTTTGTCAAGTTGAATAAGGTGACAGTGGTTAACAACTTTTTCTTTGACTCAGTGTTTGTTGCTACACAAAAGGCTTGGGCATTCTTGACTTGTGGTATCAGCAACAACTGTTTCTAAAGTTTGCACCCAAACTAATTGGATTTGTAGCTTACTGGGGAATGCCACTAAAAAAACTAAATAAATGACAAAGTGTCAACTTACACGACTAGGCACTCCTCTGTGATCGGTGCTCATCTGATAGAACCTCCTCACATATCCCTTAATGTGACCGACAACTTTTTTTTCATAGGGAAAGTCTGCTTTCCATATTAAAGAGCCATAGCCAAACACCCACATGTCCTTTTCCTGTTTGCTGCAAAGAGAAATTCCAAGATTTAATTAGTTAAACTTTTTTTACTGTGAGGTCGAGAGGTAAAACATGTTAAACTGAATTGTCTCCTACAGAATTCTTTAACTTTAAAAATCAGTAAGTTAAAAAAAAAAAAAAGTTATTGTGCCAGTACCGCACTGTTCTCTACTACTTGTGAGTATGATACTACTTAAAGGCGTTAAAAGACGAAAGAAAAACAACGTCGCACGCACGGTTGGCAGCAGCTGTCACACGTCACACATCACACACTCAAATGACGAATATTTTTCCCAATCACACTCTTTTTTTTCTCTCTCACTCATTTATACGGAAACAACAAAAAATGTGCTCGATAATTATGTTCTAAGTGGTTCAGGATGACGCAAGAGCAGTGATAAGCGTGCACTTATTTATCTTTGAGTTGCCCCAAAACGTGGGATATCGAACAAATCTTTTTTTTTGTAAACAAAATGTATACTACACACATGTGAGTGCATATATATAAGTATATAACTACACGTGATGCAAGAATCCCACGCGCGTAGACGAAACTGACGCAACTGTCGTCTGCAGTTAAGTATATAATGAGTACACAGTGTATACACACCAATAGGGATAAACAATTGAAAAATAAGTATAGGTACTTACATAGACATAATTTTAAAGAACAGAGGAAAAATTTATCATTTCGTTCGCAGAAGTGAATTAAGAAAAGCAGTAAAGGTTATCTCTATGCGAAGTATATGATTCATTAAATTTAGAACGGAAGAGACGCGCGTGCAATGTGCGTCTACTGCAGGGAAAAGCTGAGCAAGATCATCGATCTAACGGAGCCAAGGTCAGGAAAGCGCGTGGCGGCCAAAATGTGTATTCATGAATATGAACATACTTTTTTTTTTTATAGGTAAACAAACTAATTTACTGGTGAACCCGTGTAGGAGCACATCAAAATTTTTAAAGAAAAAAAAAACAAAGTGTGGGTATACCTACCTCTTCATGATGGTTGAAATCGATATCGTGAGTATTGTTTCCTCTTGGTTTTCGTCGCGAAATTATTGTCTTGACAATCAACAAGCCAACAAAGGCTTTATTTACCTACAGCCACTGGCTAGTTGTTCACTTGATAAAAAAATTAATAGAGCCAGCCCATTCAGCAGTCTTATTTCTCTCTATACGTGTACCTATGATTGCGTCAGCCAGTGAGATTATTTAGTACTGCATCGGTTTGACCTTTTACAGTAAACTTTCTCTGCAAGGTCTGCAATCTGCAATGGCTCTGCGGCTACACTACCGCAATTGGTACCCTGTCTGCAACCGTGTCGGGTTGGGACTTGGGACTGTCCGCCAGAGGCTGTCCGCTGCCGCACTGAGTTGAAGCGCGTGGAGGAAGAGAAAAGAGCACGAGAGATGGGCGAGTGTTTATATATATTCCCTCTCTCTATACTTCCCGAAAACGCACCGTACGTTATTATACTCTCTGGGATAGGGGATACACACGGATGAGATGATGTAAATCTTGCATCATCCCAGCGTCAGCTGTCGGTGCTACATGCATATTAAATAACAAGTGTTTCAGTAGTTATATATATGCAAGAGTGCACATGTTGTATGATAATTTTCCCTTTAGTACGTTACACCTGCGTGAAATGTTAAGATAAAATAGGTACTATTAAAGGTACATAGCAAACCCATTTCAAATACTTATCCGTTGGTCCTGCATAGATCCAGTTTATACTTATACTTATTTTTACTCGCAATGTTGATACTTATGAAACCGTAATTTAAAAAAATAATGCTGTACTTAGTATACATACCCTGGTTGGCCTAGGCCTACCTGTAGGTATATACAGATCTTGTAACGAAAAATTAGTGCAGTAATTTATGTCAGTCATCGGTAGAACCTAATTTCTATATAGATTCGCTAGTATTTAGAAATTTTCATAAATATTTTGTTATAGTTATGTGTGGTGTGATCAAAACAAGCTGGAAATTCAAAAACTCTAGGTCATGTATCACCATGAAATAAAACAAAAATGTATAATTTAGGTGGAGTAGTAAATGAGGTTTACAGTAGAATGCATTCAAATTCAATGTGACATTTCTTTAATATAAAATGGTCCAATTCTAGAGTCAATGCGACTCCACAAACGAATTTCTCGAAATTTCGAAACGTTGCTGTTATAAAGCAAACAAATTTAAATAAACAATTTGTCTCATAACTGTCCCTCTCGATCATTACTTTTGACCCTCATGGATTCAAATATTAATGTATGTACATACATTCGAAAACCGCTAAAAGTGAAATTTCTAAAATACACAGGTCGTAAGTAGTAATAATTAATCCCTTTTCTTCAACTCGTGTTGGCTTTGGCTGATGCTGCGGTCTGCATCGGGATGAGCAGAATTTCTTATAACTCTACTTGTATGCTCTAAGATTGCTTCGTTTTATACATCGTAGGCCAAAAATCTAACTGTAAAGTTTAAAAAAAAAAATTTATTTGAAAATTAAGAAGCACAACATAATTTGTCTGTTTCATTATTAGTATTGAAAGTGAGATCTCCATTGGTGCGTGCGTATGTGTTGTTAATAAACAAACATTTCAGTGCTCCCTACTTTCAGCATCAATCATGCGTTTACGGAGATTAAAATTTTCAAAAATTTTTTTTATCTTGCGCTCACGATATGAATTTTTTTCGTCTTGCGTACGGCAGAACATACTAACAAAACAATAACAATTTCATGTTTTGACTGGTGGTAATTTTATATATTGGAACGTGAAATAACTAAGTTTTCGCAAAACGACCCATTTGTGCATTTATGCACGTATAAAATGAATACGTGCGTTTTGTAAGCGCTTGGGAGACAATTACTTCATGTAATATGTAGGACAAAAAAAAGAGTACAAGTTAGCACAAGACGTGACATGATACTCTTGTTCTTGTGAAATCCTAACTTTTTTGTTGTGAGCAACTCGTCACTCTTCCTTGTATTACGCTAATTTGGACAAAATAGGAGTAGAAAAATAAATGCCGATGCGTGCCAAACATTGTACTCCAGTGAAAAATGAATCTTATGTAAAAATCTATTAGGAATCTTTCAAAAATTTTTTTTTTTTATCAATTTCAAATTGTTAAAAATTGTTTTTCCTTCCGTTCCAACTAGTCAAACCAATAATAAATGGTCTTGTTAGAGTTCAAAAGATAAATTCTGCTGGTCATTTCGTGGAGATCAAATTGGGGACAAGAAAATTGTGTAAATAGGTAATCTTCCGAGTCTCTCAAAGATCCGCGGTGAATCACAGTGAAAAAACCGCATTGCTGTAATAGCTGATAAAAGTAAGTGCAAAAACGAGTTCTCCAATTTTTTTTAGGGAAAGAGCGTTAGTGACTTAAAAAAACTAGCGGAAATCATTCGTATTTGATGATGCAATATTTTTTGAAACTGTAAAAAAATTTTTTTCAGGGGAAGCAGGGCACAATTTATTTAAAAAAATTTAGATTTTTTTACATTCTTTGAGGGTTCACTGACGATATTAAGTTTTTGGCAGATATTCATAAAATTCTATACGTTTCTTGGTATGTACTTTATATATGAAACATATAATTAAGGAGACGAACCTTGTTGTTTTCGAAAAATTAACTAGAACAGAAGAAAATGTTGTGCCTACACATGAAGTTTTGAATCGGTACTTATAAGTTTTTGCGTATTTTGTATGATTTTCTACTGTGGCGAGTAATTATTTACGTAATTTATTGAGAGTAATCGTATTATAAAAAAAATTTTCAATTAAATCTAATTATTGAGATTAACTGTACCGCTGGTACTTCCTTGCTTATAACTACAACTAAATACTTAAAATATTCGTATATTTCCTGTAGTACATACAGGTTAAAAAACTATAAATTAAATAACAGGAGATAAGTACCTTTGAAAAAGTAAGTAAAATATTTTATGCATATGAATTAAATTCATTCGAAAACTTTGCATTATAAATATTAAGTAGTGAAATTGTGTTTGAATGAAATTTTGCTGACACAAAATTGCAATTATGTAACATTAAAAATCTATTCACCGAATGTTCCAATGGAATATACATATGTAAGTTCATCTAACTACTTTATCCTTTTTTTAATCGCAGTAATACTTATTGAGCTGTAATATTTTCTGGTGTGCTTCGCGTACTACTCTCATGGAATAATTGTATAAACTACGGCTATATCAACACTTGAATTTTTTTTGAAAAGAAAAACTGACGACTTTGATGTTATTTTTTACGTTATTTATAACATAGTGAAAAAATAGACGCTATACAAATTTTGTACATTTCTTCATCACAATTAATTTCACTCTCAATTAATATCTATCGATTACATTTTTTCGAATCTCATAAATATTTGAAGAATACTATTAAATTATTTTTTGTTAAAAATTTTTTCAATAAGTATAACGTTTAATATTTGCTTATAACGTTAAACAATCAATGACGTAATAGTACTTTTTTCAAATTTATTTACCAGATGATAAGTTTTTCAAAGATTACTGAGATAATATTGTTTCTAGAATTAATTTATGAAATTTCTGAAGCAGGAATGAGACGGTTTTCCCCTGATACAAAAATACAATAAGAACATTTGTACTGGTATATTACAGATACATCAATGAATATTAATTTATTATGATGCTAAAAAATTTCTCACATAACATTCAGCTGTAAGAACTTTATTTTCATAAAGAATATTTTGAAACTATTTAGCATTATATTTTACTCATAGTAAGAACATTTCAAAGTGGATAGCGCAGTGAAACTTCATACTTATGTTACAGTCGTGTGCATTTTTGAAAAATCTTGTTTTTAATGAAAAAATTCAATAATGCATAGCAACCACAAAAAACAAGTTTATTTAACTTTTTTGACATTAGATGATAGGCGTACATGACGTTTATTGGAGAAGTGTTGATGATACATCTGTTTTACAAAACATTAGTATAATAATAGTATAATAGTAAATAAATTAGTATAATAATATAAAATATTAGTATAAATAAGTGTGGTTGTAAATAAATTTTAAAATGATGCTTCCTAAAAGCAAACTCATGAGTTAAGTGTTAGTAATTACATCATTTCGATGAGTCGCAGTCGGTCTCTTATATTCCTCATTTATTATACATACATATATATGTGTACTTATTCATTAAAACGCTAACGGTAAGTGTGCCTTCGTCTGCGGATACCAATACCTCTCGTTTAGTTTATTTAAACATTGGTTATTTATAGACATAGTGGGTGTGCTATGCATGTAAGTACATATAAGAAAGCCACTATCAGAGAAATAAACGCCCCTACACAATTATGAGTTTGCTCTATTAAAGTACTACGTCTGGTTTTATCATAAGTATTTTGTTTTTTCAATATACACGTATTGTATTGTTTTTTCAATTTTATTCCATAAACAGTTTTTTAATAAAAAATGTTAGTATTCAAAAGGTTTTATTTTTTACAATGTAATATACGCGACCAAAAGTAACCATTTCTTTGATTCTATATATTTTCTTGATGTTAAAATTATAATACTAGACTGTAAAGTCTCAAGATTTTTTCTCGTTAACTGTGTTTAAAAAACGTTTATTGGCACAATTATAAATTGTAAGTGAAATAAATTAATATAAACTTAATAAAAATATCAAATTAATGAAGTAAAAAATACATTATCACAAACTAATAAACNTGGGGGTCTAGTACGTAAAAACTTGGCCATGGGTGTACATGAAATCTTAAACATTACAAGTGTGAAACTTTTAATATCTTTAAAAAAATCGATCAATACTAGACTGTAAAGTCTCAAGATTTTTTCTCGTTAACTGTGTTTAAAAAACGTTTATTGGCACAATTATAAATTGTAAGTGAAATAAATTAATATAAACTTAATAAAAATATCAAATTAATGAAGTAAAAAATACATTATCACAAACTAATAAACTTTTTTCATTCCATCTATCAAAAATATTAATTGAATTTTTGTTATAGAATGAACTATCGTCATCAGATTGGTTTGCTTCATTCAAAATTATCCTTTTTTTACGTAGAAATACACGTGCATGGCATAGTCCAATATGGCATAGTATTCGATATAATTTAATATCCGTATTATCCACTTAACATATTAACTCTGAACTGTCATTTTTTTAAGAAGGTTCGCTATCTTATAAAATTATTACTCACAGTTTATTAAAATTGTACAAAGTTCGTAAAGAGTTTCAAAACGTCAGTTTTCGTATAAGTAATGAAGTAAATGAAACAAAATTGTTAAAACATGGTAACAGGAGAACAGCGTAATTATTGCGATAAAAAAATGCTTACAGAGTTGACAGT